ATGAAGAAGGAAATGAAATGTATCACAAGCTATTAATGATGAACATAAGGAGTAGACATGAATGCTGATGTGTTGGATAATGGATATAAAAATTATATTAAAAATCATCTTAAACAATGAAAAAAGTACTAGTATGCATTTCTACGAGAGTAACAACCCCACGTGAACGGTTAACGCGGTCATCGATGCGTGCATGACGATCCACATACGAAACAGTGCGAGTTCCTCGGGCACGAGCCGCAGCAATTCTCTTTGCTTCTCTTTCCGCAACTAGTCTTGCGACGATGTTCGTCCATTCTACGAGTTATGAGTTTTCTTAATGCTTTTTTGTCCATAAAATATAAAATATGCGTTACTTTATTTCAATGTGCCGTTGAGTGAGAACAGAAAATCATGGTTTTTATTGGCGTCAATTATAATGCTTTATGTGAGATCCAAGTGAACGAATGATTTGGATACTCAAGCTTGTTTTGGTAAGCGAGCTTTAATTTTATAAAAATATATCTCAAACGTTCGATGAGGAGTTGAGAATATTTATTTTGGCGTAAAATTACACTTAAGTACTGTATTTTCTTGAATAATTCAAATTTCCCTCGACATCGTGTGCTACGTCCCTTAAGCAAAACAAGAATCTCGATATTTTCAAACTACTCTCTCAACCAGTTCGTGAGAGACGAAGGAATGTGCTGGCTTGCAAGAAACGTTTGTGTCTGTTGGAGATGGATAATTATAAAGGTGGCAAGAAGCAACTTGTTGTCGTTGATGGAAGGTGATCATTATCATCATCCAGCCATTTTTACTACATAATTTTATATCATGTCTGCAATTTATTTTTTCTCTTATTTTTCCAATGGGTATACCCTCACAATTTTACAATCATTTTGTTTCCCCTCTTTTACAATATTTCTTTTCTTTCATCTTTCAAGGTTGTGGATATGTATTTATGTGTGGATGATTTGCAATTAATTCCACACGGAAGTTCCGTCTTGATATACGACGTTCGAGTTTCATTCACCGTGAGCTTTGAGATTATTCGTTATTCAATTAATTCTTTACTTAATATGAACAACGGTGTTTACGTATAAATTGACTGGTATTCATTCAACTTTTCTTTTATAATCTTCAACAGTCTTGCAACATTTTCTATACAATGAAATGCTTGAAATTTTAATGAAAACTTCGCTTCATTAATTTTTACTCGTTTTATACAATGTACGTATTAATCTACTAATTTTTTATTTAATACGATTCATAACTCTCAGAAGAAGAGCACACTTTTACCATGAATACCACATTTCTTTAGTACACGGAGAGAATTCTTTTATTAACCGTGAACAAAAATAGCAACTGTATGTTTGAATTACAAAATACAAGTATTTTTGTTCAACAATGAATTTTCATAAGTCATTATTTTACGGCAGATCTTGTAAGTAATTGAACTTACTTATGAAAACTCAAAATTTACTTCTGCTTAATCACATTTGTACTTTTAAATCTTGAAACGTGCACTTGTTATTTTTTGCACTTACTGTTAGTAAAAAAAGTCTCTCCGTGTATGAGAAAAATACAATTTTCTATTTTTAATTAAATAACTTTGACGAGTTTCTCAAAGTTACGATTAAATGTTTGTCAAATTTTATAATTGAATTATTTGAAATCATAAAAAGTTACTAAAAGATTGAAATATTACATGAAAAAATTAAATATTCAAAAAGCACAATATTCTTTAATGTTAAATGAAATATTTCAAGCTGAAATTGATTGTTATTTATCATTATTTAATGAGTAACAAGTGTTAACAGTAGTTAAATTTAACTCCATTACAATTAATTAGTTTAATTAAAAGTTTTAGTTGAAACACAGAGCATTAACAGATATAATATCAAATTATGGTCAATAATGATTCAAAATAGTTTCTTTAATTATTTTCTCATTTTCATTATTAATAAAAAATTAAATAAGCCATGTACTAAAATTAATGTTGATCATAATAAATTCTTGTACTGTACTTTAATAATATTTCTTCAGTATTATTGAATATTGTTATTAACGTTCATGACATGTGTCTTCCAGTTCATGAGAGAAAATATTATCTAATATTTTTTCATGAGAGAAATAGATTTTCTACAATTTCTCGATGTCAGTAAACATAACGGAAATAGTGTTGGCGAGGTCGACCTACACCTTAGGTGCAGCTTGCCCACGCGAGTCACAACGGAAACTAAGCGTTATCCAGCACAACAAAAAGTGCTTATAAAAACGAACAGTGCAAGCATCAAGGATTATCTCACAATTTTCCTCATGTGGGTTGGAAATTATCTATATCAAATGATCTTGGAATTTCACTTGCCATTAAAAACTATTAAAATCTCGTCAGGAATTAGTTCAAAGTCTGAAGATAATAATCTATCCAAGCACTTCTCGTAAAATAATGGACTAAAGTTAACAACCTGTAATGATTGTAAAAAAACCATAAAATTAAATAATTATCAAGTTATTTTCTTTGAAAGTTGGGGCGTTAAATTGTTCATAAAGGATAGTGTTGACAGATACTTGATGCAATTTCATGTATCTATAGAAGGAAAAGTATCTTTGTGAATGCTATGAGCTATTTAGTTTAGCAGCTTTTCTCTGAGGTTTATTTTCTATTGCCTCCAAGTGACAACCTACCAACCTACTACAAGTATACTGCAAGTGTCTAGTCTGTTCCCACTTTGGGAAAAGAGCAAAGAAGTCATGTAGACAGACATTTATCCAGTAGAAAGCAGTCGGATGACAACTTTGGTCACATTCACTTAAGAATTCTTCAGCTCTTTGAGATTTATCAAACCTGCTATCAGATTCTTTTACTATTCACAACTCTTTTCTGTATCTTTCAAAAAACCAACATCATATTTCAATCCTGTTTAAAATTAATATCAACTCCCACATTTCTATCTTTCTAATTCATATCACGATTAGAACATGGATCATTTGTTTATTTCCTGATACAATCAAGAAAAAACAAGGACAATTAAGTGAAAAAAAAATTCAAAATAAATTGAAAGTGATAAAATAAATGATAAAATACTATTGAGATCAATGGAGCGAAGCAATTGACTGGATATAATAATCATACAATGTTTGTTGACTAGATTGCGTTGTCTTGTCATGTGGGCTATAAACACAATCATACTATGCCCTTCCTGACTGACTAACTGATGATGACAACGCGTCTTTTTATAGAATTAGCATTATTACTGGTATATATATATCTTGAAATATGCTCAAGTGTATTCTTTGCTATCTAGCGTGCTAGAGTACTGGTATTGTGTATATTTAACAACTGAGGTGGTAAGGAACATTAATGACTTTGATCGTCCGTGACGGCTCCTGTATGTTCATTCATGCGAAGTTGAAAGACGAATGTTATCAAAGCAGTTATATGAAGCCTTTGTGAATATTTGTTGATGGTATTAATGTCTTCTAATCATCTTTTAATTTACTTGATTATTTTGGTCTTAACATTGAATATGTTTTAGTTTCAATTTAGAAGAGCTCTCAAATTGGTTAATAAATTACTATAATATATCTATTTAAATGTAAGAAATGTCCTTCAGATTCTTCCTGTCTTCATCTCTTAGCCATTTTTTCCCTCGCAATTTCACGGATGGTATAATTCTAGTGTATATCTTGCACTTTACTTTATGGGCTACTGATTTTTTCGCAACGTTAAAAATCTATTTTTCGTCATTTTTAACAGTATTTATATTTTCTAACATAATATACTGGCATAAATATTTTCGTTATAGGTAGTGAAACAAATGGAAAGGCATATTATTGTTGAGTTATAAATTTTAATGAGCCTGAGGATATCTTTACTCATTCAGACTAATTTTATGTTTAGGTTTTATCACCAATGTCATCATTTCTAGATGGTTTAATTATTTTTAAAATTAATACGTGTTAATAAACTTTTTTATTTAGTTTTTAATGCTCATTGTTGCTGACCCGGGTGAAATTTATACCTATAATTATACTTTCATATATTATGAACAGTTTCATTGTTGAAAAATTGGAAAATATGATAGGTAATCTGATCATATATTCAGAGTTGATGATTGAAAAATTATTTAAGATGGAGACAATGAAATAAATAATGGTTATAGATGCACATTGAAGCATTATTATCCACTGTGAAAACTTGATGGACCAGAATGGTCCGAATGACCCGCTTTCAATGCGACCTAACACGCTTTCAAAGTCAAACTCAATCATCCAAAACGGAATGAAGAATATGAGAAAGAGATGAAATTCTTCTTGGCCTATTTTTATTTTCTTATCAGGCTTTTATTTATCTTTTCAAACAATCCGGAGATTAAAGTATTGCAGACTTTGTTGACTTTACATGTATGACTTAGTAATTCCTCTTTTCTTTTTTATGAAAGAAATCCAGTAAGCTAAAAGAAAATATAATGGAGAAAATGTAAAGAATTTGAAATGAAATTTATTATTTACTATTGTGAGTAAATGAAAAAGTTGTCAAACCAGATATACCAGTTAATAATCTAAATTGTACTTGCGCGGATCTGCCACTACATTAATGTAAAACTACTACACCACCGGATCGATAATAATTGTATACCTGTTCTATTCGAGCAGTGACCTCATTTGCTAACTTGCATATGTGCTTTTGACCTTAATTGCCCCATCACTTGATCGAAAAATAAAGTTGCAGACTTTCAATCTTAAGAATTTTCCAAAGAAATAACTAGATATTCTTTTTTCTACTTGTTTTGATTTTTTAAAAAAATATTACAGCTGTTCCATTTGTGTTATTTTTATTGTGTATTGTTTATTGATGATAGATATTAAGTCAATATTTTCAAATTCACACAATGAAAATATTGAATTAACTAACTTCTGATATATTGATGTTCAACATTAAAAAATCATTGATAATGTTTAATAATTTTTTATTTTTTTACAATTTTACACGAATTTTTTGTTTTCTATTACAGGCCAAACAACGTGCCTCCGTGAAATGGCTCCTCTCGAAGGCGTACAACAATCGCGTGCCAGACAACCTCAAAGAGCCATATTATCGTGATCTAGAGGTAAAAAATTATATTTACTCATGTTTCATTCAATTTCTTATTACATTTCTTACATTATAATTTTTTATTTTTAAACTCATCATTTAAATAGGTATTTCAAAACCACATTTATGTCATAATCATTTTTTCAAGCGAAAAAAAAATTATGTACAAAACATTTTATTCCTCCAGTTTTTTGTAAAAAGCCTGTCACTGTTCCAAGTTCTCATCAATGTAAAAAGTTGCTGAGAATGTTGCTCTAGATTCTCTTTCTGCTTCAGAGTAACAAAACGAAACTTAATTCATTCCAATTCTAAGAACTTGACATTTTGACATAGATTCGAATAGCGATATTTTTTGTTCAATAAATAATCATGTTTATTTATTTATCTTAAAAAAATATTTCAAACAGTTTAAAACTATTACTTTATATTTAAACTTATTAAGATTATCTTCAAAAACATTTGCAAACATTTGTGATATTTAAATATTTGATGTATAAATTAAATTAATTCATGAAATCAATATTTAAAAAATAAATTAATTAAAAATTAGCACATGAAGGTGACTCTAGAAGAACTCATAAGGAAGTAAAATAATAAATAGAGACATTTGCAAAAATTACTAATGAGAGTACTAGTAAAAAGGATCTCATATTGGAGCACATGTTGCACCCACGTGTGACCTCGTCACTTGGCGTAAATCCAATTAAACCAATCGAATTACTTTCGCATTCACTAGTGTCTCTTTGTGTTGTAAATATCCCATCGAAAATTGTCATCGGTTTCCCGTGTTTAGTTTTTAAATTTAAATATGTTTTCAATGTGCGATGTTCAGGATTTATTTCGGCATCATCAGTGTGACTTTCACCTCCCACGAGAACGTTCATTTTCAAATCTCAAACTTTTTATAGCGATATGTTGTTTAAAGGTTGGTTTGTGAATTTATCAATAGTTTATTCTTTCAATTATTTCGTTACTCAGCTTTTTTCTTTCATAGGATTTTACTCATGAGATATAAGCTTTGAATTACCTATTGTTACTAAAACATTTTTTTACAGATAGAAATTGGTGTCACGATGTGGTCAGTAATTAACTTGGCATTTACCCAATCAATAATCACCTAGCTTTTTTACAAATCATCAAGAAAATTAACATATTTTTGTTTTATAAAAATTACTTAAAAAATCATTATAGATATTTAACTTTGTTTGTTATCAAACATTTTACAAAATTTCTGTCAAAGAATTCCTCCATCTGCATAGAACAAATAAACTTGCACAGAAAACAATGACATAATAGTGAGAAAGTTCACCTGATCGTCGTAACTTTTTAACACGATTAAGTCGTAGGCGGCTAATTAGCATCTGAAAACTTGAAAAGAGCAATTACAAACGCCCACTTGAATACTATCCTCTTCTAAGTCATCAAAACCTACTTAACAATCATCTCGACTCGTGAAAAAATCTTTTTATTTTTTATAACAGCTATTAAAACCTCTTTTTTCTCGATTTCAACAGGATCAAGAACATCTCAAACCTCAAATCGTCCATGCACTTTCAAATGCAGAACTTTATTGCTTGGCATTGGCGAACATTTATTCAGATCCCAATTATCACAATCAGAACCACTGGGGGATCTTGCAAGCACTCGCGAGAAAAGGAGTTTATGTTGCGGAGCCAAATAATTCTCAACTTACAGAAACTATTTTAATCCAGAATTCACCACTAAAAATGGTAACTTTTTTTTGTTATCTTATCAATAATTACTTAATTTCAATAATTTAATTAATTTTTTGTAGAAATTGTTATTTAGTAATTAAATTGATCAATAGATATTGATATGGCTAATTGCAAATTATTCTTTTATTTAATTGATACTTTGAACTCTGATCTTAATTATTCCTTAATAGCAAAATCATTAAACTGCAAAATTTTTTGTTTCAGTCTGCACATATGGCTGTGATAGAAGGCCTGATGGTCTTGTACGCGAAGGAAGTAGTAACAAGCGACCGAGTAGTTGCGGCAATTCGACGTTTTGACCCTCAAGCATACGTTGAAATGCCTAGTGACCATGAGAAGGGTCTTCTACTGTGGATAAGTCACGCTTCGCATGCTCTAATCGGCAAGATTCAAACGGAAGAAGGTGCAGGCGACAAGACCAGATTGCCTGAATTACCTGCAGCCAAAGACTTCCAATCTTTGTGTGATGGTGTAGGTTTAGCAGCAGTCGTGGCTTTCTATTGTCCTGGCGAGCTTAATTGGATGGATATTAGAGTATCCAAGAGACCGTCTGTTGCTGATGCTCTCCACAATCTATCTCTTGTTCACACTTTCTGTATGAGATGTTTACCATACTCTATTTTCCATATGCAACCTGAAGATGTTACCTATATGAGAGGGTAAATATTTTTCTTTGAGACTTTTATCTTCTTCAAAGAACTCTCTAGAGCTTGAAAAAAGACGAGTATTATAAATTGTTCAAAGAAAAAGACTTTGTCAGTTTCACAGAAGGCTGCAATAAAGTTTATTTTATTTCACATTGTTTAGCTCTGATCTTTCAAGATGCACAAAAGTTTAAAAAGAATTTAATGATAATAAAAATATTAGTGTCAAGCTCTAAAGAAATCAAAACTGTTATTTACATTATAACTTTTAATTTTTTTCAATTATTATTAAACTTATTAGCAGTGAATTATAATGTTTTTACCCGTTTTTTAGGTCCATGAAACAAAATTTAGTAGTATTTCTAGCAGATATGTATAACGTTTTGGAGATACATCCTGTAAAATGTGTACGTTATCCTGGAGAAGAGAGAGCAATGCAGTATCTTGATGGTATGTATCGTTCTGGAATAAAGGACAAGTATTATTTATTGCATTACATTAAAATAATTAAATAAGAAAAAATATTTCTCACAAAATTCTTATGCACTTGCGTAAGTCAACACCGTCTTAACACGCCTGGAAAGCATACTCATTTTGTATTATGAATACTTGGTAAAGTTGTTAAATTGGTGGCGGGTTACTATCGGTGAAGGCTACGTACTTATACCAAATTTACCCGTTATATATAATTTAAGTTGTTATGAGTTTATTCATTAATCTCATTACGACTGTAAAGAAGGATTCTATTCACATATAACAATAAACGAAAAAGTTGAATTGTTTTTGTGGTATGTTTTAAAAGTAATTTGCTATTTTACATACGACAAAGTTGCTTCTATATGTTCTGAAATGGCTTTTTTTATAAATTCAACTGGCAGTAACTATTTAAGATATTAATAACGATTATTATATGTACAGTCGTAATGATATCACGCTTCTTATCAGTGTCAACATACACTTCGTGTGAGATAGAAGACTGCTGGGTATGAGTGTCGACAAAATAGGCTTACTTATAATAAGGTTTACACCTGTGTAAGTTTCGTGGATGATAAGAAAGCAATTAAATAGAAAGAACAAAAGAATAACAGACTGGATAAAGCAAAAAAAAACACTAATTGACAATATCGATAAACTTAACACATGTAATATTTCCGTATATTTTTATGGCTAAATCTTCTTGATGCTTGACAACAACGCTATCTTCTGCCTTCTTTCGTCCACCATCCAATTGCCAATGAACTATAAATGGTCTCTATGCGGGTGACATGCAGAGTGCCCGCGCAATAGTCACGGGGTAGCTCATAAAAGAAGTCTACCACAGTCGATAGCTCCAATACCTGATCTGAGAAGCAACCTCTCCGTTTCCGCGCCAGGTTTCACAGGTATCCGTAAACAGCCAACAAACAAAATCATCCATTCTTAGGTGGTTTTCCTCTTATTCATCGTGTCGCTAAAAATTCATCGACACATTCGTGCTGAACATCTTGAAATCAGCCAAGTGTCTTCAAGTTGACGTGGAAGAACTTGAGTGTCGTTCATTAAATCTATTTTATTAATATTTATCACTTTTACTTGCTATGATTTAAATGCAGCGCATTTCATCTCATGCTTATTGGTGTGTTCTTTGATGCTGTAATTGTTTTAATAAACAACTGGTTTGCTTTTTTGTACTTCAACTTAGTTTAATGATTAAATCATAAAGAGTTTACTCAAGTGACAGAGTTGAATAAACTAACATTCAAAGAGACAATTAAGGTGCTATTTCATGACAAAATTTCAGACTATACAGAGTCACAATGAATAGATGCACTGAAGAACACACTTCATATTTTTAATTTAAGCTTTGATTGGTTTTATTCATTTTATACTCTCTACTTATGATTCAACTACCATTTCTTATCTTTGTTTTTCTACCTTTTTATTATTTGAAAAAAATTTTTTCCATATTATTTGATTGTGCTTTTTCGTATTTTGCATTCTCTTCGATCAGTTATATCCAGTGTGTTTTGCATTTAAATCGTGGTTTATACTGACAGTAACGATATTTGAATAAGAAGAGAAATCAAGTTAGGAGCACAGCTTGTTACTAATCGTATGATTTGCATATCATCATGGAAAGTAGTAAGATCATCAGAGTCGAGGAGTATGCATGTGATGCAGAAGTTGAAAGAAATAATATAAACACATGCCGTGAACGCGACTCATATTATTAGCTTTATTGCTTAAATGACTTGCTGCTTGCATTGCAATCAATTAAGCATGTTTGTATATTTTTTTGTTATTTTTATTTAATGATTTACTTATTTATTCATACTCTGAGAGGAGTAAATGGGCGAGTCATGAGATCTACTTCATCTTCAGTTTGTTGGTATTTTTTGCGATGTAAATTGTTTAGTTTAATATAATTTATTGTATTTTTTGTCATTTTCATTGATTTTTATCATAGATGTGTTATAATTAATTCTAGATTGGTCAATACCTAATATAAATTTGACTACCCCCATCAAATAATAACGTCATTTAGATATAATTTTATTAGTAAGGTTAATTTAATTATCAATTATTACGTATCAGCTTTTTTTAAGTAATAAAAATTTATATTTTTATTAACTAAAATGTAGTTAATATTAAACAGAGAAATTCTTGGCAAAGTATTAAATACAAATGTGACTGTCAAAAGCTTTCTAAAATGTTATAAGTTGGAAAAAATAATGGAGTCATATATGTTGAACTTTCAATTAGATCAAATTTTTAAAATCTATTACTAATTTTTATACTATAAATACTTTCTCCAACGAATTTCTATGTTTGATAAGTTATCAAGTGAACAATTTATCTAACACCATTTAACTTATCTTTGTTGACAAATTTGTTTTTGTACAAATAATTTATGGAAATATTGTATGTTTTTATTATTTTATGTTTATGATTTCAACAAATCAATTTTAGGATGATATAACACCATGACCAATAGTACATCGTATTTTTTGTCTTTCAGTGGCGAAACCTATCCCATCAAGTTCTGTAAGAAAGTCGCAGTCATTGCAACAAACTACCGAAAGCCATTCATATGATGACAGGTAAATATGAAGTGAATTATTTTAAAATAAAAATTAGTTTTGTTATTCTGTGAATATTTGAGACAATATTGACATTCACTGAAAATTTTTAAAATAACTCAAATTAACAAGGCAAATTTTTCAAGCAGAAAACTCGTGGATTTAATGAATCAATAACAAATAAATTCAATTGCAGACGGGGAGGATCGGAGGAAAATTTCGTCGTCCATCGAAATAGAGGAATTCCAACATTGAGTTCTGTAGCAGATGAAAGATATACAAGATCAGAAGCTGCTGGACGGCCAAGTAATTGGGAAGATCAGCGAAGAAGTTCGTATGCTGGACGACGTTCACGACGAAACAGTGTTACGGATGATTCTCAATTAACAATAGAAAATTTCGGTGGATCTCAAGATAATTTACATAATTTTGGATGTATGAGAAATCCTGATAAAGAATTGGTGCATACCGGGAAACGCACTGCCACAGAACCAACGCTTCCTGTACGCTCCAGTGTCCAAGATGCCTATGCCAGTGACGTCCAACATATTCTCGCTGATAATGGTTATGTCAATGATGAACCAACGCCAAGACTTAGGAGGCAGGCCTCCAACTCCAGTTTAAATAACTCGAGCCACAAAAATGTTGTACATTCCAGTGATAATCATGATAATACTGATGTTGAAACCACAAAGATGGCTAGTTTTGCGAATCTCACACGACAAAGCTCAGAAAAGAGCATTAATTTTAAATACACTGAGCAAGATCGTGAAGAACTAGGCTCTAAAACAAATTTTATTTATAAAAAACATGGTCAAAATAACAGTAATGGAGTTGGAGAGAAGAAGACTACATTTGCAACTTTGCCAAATACGACGACGTGGCAACAACAAAGCACTCAACATACTCAACAACTGGAACAGCATTCAGCTGGTATATTTTTTAGCTTTTATATTTTTTTGCTCTTTAAGCGTTTTTATCCCAATAAACGATTTATTTATAGAGTAAAAATAAATCCATTCAATTTCTCTGTTTATTCAAGTATTTAAACAATTTTCACTTTATGCCAATTTATACGATTATCTCTCATAATATTGATTTCAATTTGTTAATGTATCCTTAGATTGATATCTCAACAACAATGTACTTTTTTTTATTATTGTTGTAGATGAGAATGGCGGAAACATAATCACGGCTTCAGAGTTGAATAAAATAAAAATGGAACTCGAGGAAAAACGTAGACAAATAGAAAATGCAAAGAAAAAAATGGAAGTAGTCGTATCGAAACAACGGCAAAAAGTAGGGAAAGCGGCATTTCTTCAAGCTGTTACAAAGGTAAAAATATATTTACATAATTCCCATAATTTATTTACTTTTAAATAATATTAAAGTATATCATTAACTTTTTATTTATCTAATATTTAATCTATTTTATATCTACTCTAAATGAATTCATTATTTTTTCTACTCATCATTATTGAATGTAATCTTGTAAATCTATGTTGTGAATTGTTGTAATGCAGATGTATTTCCAATCTTTCAGCTATGCATTGCGGTAAGTGCATGTCGGATGCACTAAAAGTATTCTATCGTATCACTCAGTCACTCGAAATCATGCACTTATCCCAATAGTTAGTGATATTCAACGTTTTTTTTCTATTATTCTTTTATTTATTTTTTACTTATATCTTCTACTATCTCATCTCATTAGTAATTAAGATTTATTATTTATTGATTCTTACTCAGATGATTTTTTATACTTGTACTCTGTACTGGTGCAGGCTGCATGTTTTCTTATGAATATAGTTTGCCAAAGCCAAGTATTGTAAAGTATTCGCTTAGCTCACTGAGAAAAGAATTTGATGACGAATTGAATTTATAATTCAGATTCATGTTCCATCTAAATAATGAAGTTTGTAATTTTTCAATTATTATAAATTTACTAATAAAATAAATGAATTGATGAATATTAAATTATTTTCTCAGTGAAAAAATAAAAATGATAAATTGCAAAATGAGAAGTTGAAAATTAATTTAATGAATTCATTAGAACGCACGTGAATTTTTTTAAATTAAATTATGAAAATGAGTTAAGTAGATGCTCTAGTGTAAATAACAGTATTGCTTTAAATTTTAATAATAAAAAAAATGACAATTAAATAAAAGACAAAGCAAGAATATTAAAGTAAATAAAAACTTGGCTGCGGTATCATTACCTCCACGGATGTTCCGATGTTCGGATATTCTCGATGGTGGTGGGGTGTGAGTAACAACGCACGGTGGTTGGGCTGGTTACAGGGTAAGGTAAAATCTCCTTCCTCATCGACATCCGGCGGTGACAGTCCTGTGGAGCATGGTCCTCCTACTCCACTGTCCTCTGGATCCGCTGGCGAGACCCCGACAAGTGTCACCGAGACACCGTCGGTACCTCAACACAATGCGCAAGAGAAACCGCAGCGTCCTTTCTCATTCAAGGTACATTTATGCCTTTCCATTTTTTAGATTTTTTTTTCAAACCAGCCGACTGTGTCCTGCAATGTTCCTTGCGCATAGTTTGATAAGTAAAGCTACATTGAATGGCTTCGAATGTTGAGAATAAAATTTAATTTTTTTATCATTTTTTCTTTTGGTGGTGGTTTTTAAAGAAATCATTTTTTTACATTCATAAGTTTGTCAAGTGGCGTTATTAACATTATTAATATCAAATTTACTAAAAGTTTAACAAATTTTGATTAATGATTAATTCGGTGTATTATTGAGAAAAATATATATAGAAAAATTTTGTTAGAAGTAGAAATATAATTTGACTCATAAATCGTATGATATGAGTAAATTTAACAATATATATAGATAAAATGTCAAACAAATATTTCTACAAGATTTTTTATACAAGCATTCTCAACTATTCCGATATAATTTTCTCAATAGAATAGATATACTAGATATGATATTGATCAAACAGATAAATGTAATCTCGGCTAAGTGTCGTCCTAGACCTTCTGTCAAAATGTTAAGTTGTTAGTTAGAATCAGTGTGCTTACAGGAAAGTGATCTACATTGCAAAAAAACATTTTTGTGAAATTTTTTAATTAAAATTTTGTCAAGTTATTTCAACACTGTCTATTACGGTAAAAATATTCAATTTGCAAAAATAACATGCTTAAATGAGTAAAAAAATCGCAATAATTTAACATCACAAGATTAACAAGTAATTCTAGCCATTTTACTAATTGTCTTCTGCTTTTTAATATATTCAGTCTGAATATAGTAATTGATTTTAGATTTAATTGAAAGAAGAAAAACAAAAAATAATCAGTGCAATCGGCATTTTTTAATAAACAAAAATTTTAACAAATTTTTTTTGGTTTTTTAAAAGTAAATTTATTGTGAATATCATACATTATTAATTATGTTTAGTTTCAATAAATTATTTAATTCATTTACAACAACCTTTTTAAAAAAATTTAAAAAAAGTAAATCCGAAAATGAATCAAGTATAACATCAAATTCTCACGTTGAAAATCTTTCAGAAGAAGACATTGATCAATATCGCAGTGCAGTATCAAAAAGTGATTCTAATGATTCGGATAGATCAATATATGCATCAGCAACATCATTGAAATCATGCTATGTATCAATTACAGATTATGAACCTATTCAAACAAAATCAGATTCACCAAAAAGTGTAGACAATAATTGGTCAGCTGAAATCAAGCCTCGGTCTAAATTAACTAAAACTTTCAAGGGAGCTATTTACAATAATGATAAAAGAAAGCATAATACACCTATAATTAAATAATTTGTATGTTTCATCGTAATAATGATAGGTGTATTCGATCTAAAAATTCCTAACTGTTTTGATCATCGATAAGATTACAATTATCACGAGAGTATTTTTTTTCCACATTTAGGAAATTACCGAAGATATCAGAGATGTTGAACACAAGTGGCTCGGACAAGATGGCAGTGCACCTTTTCTTGAAACTCGACGGACTCCTGACATTGAAAATATGGATCTTGAGCAATATCAACAATCAATTTCACAGTAAATATTAATTAAACATTTTTCTAATAAAATATAATACTTTTAAAAAGTTCAAAAAAAATTATTATTATGTTAAACTAACATTTTTAGGATGAACAGTAGCCTTAGTGAAATCCAAGCTGACATCCAACGTTTAGCAAGTCAACAAAATCAAATTCAGCAGCAACACTTGATGACTCAACATCAACAGCAAATGCAACAGCAACTTCAGCAATTACAAAGTTTGAGTCAACAACATCTCCAAAGTTACGCCATGCAACCAATAACTCCTCAGCAGAATCAATTTTATCTACATGATCAACCGCAGAGAAGAATGTGGGGCAGAACACCACAGCAAACTCTACCCAACGAAATGATTGGTGCAGAATATCAACAGCCAGTAGATTCGCGGTATAGTCCTCAACACCCAGTTTATCAACAAGACCCTCGATTGTATCAAGATATCAGGACTTGGGGTGCTCCATCATCTCAACAAAAAGGATTTGTGTTACATGATACTTCTCAGGAACAAAGGTATCTCAACGGAGGTGATCACAGTCTTTGTAACAGTCAAATGCATCAGCCTATTTCCAACTATCCATCAGCCTCTATTTTTAATCAAACGCCTCCTGCGACTGCTAGTCCTCAACACCGAATCGCCGTAAGTATTAACAATGAATTTAATGTTAATGGTTTTAATAAATAATTAAAAATAAGCTTATGTTATAAATTGATACACTTATGGACTTTGAGAAGAATTTATTTTTATCCATTTAAAATGGCCATTGAATGCTGTAGGTATTTATAGAAGTTGTATTTCTGAAGTTGAAACTTTTAATACTTTAAAAGTTATATTATCAATATTTAGATGGTTAATTTCAAATGTTTTTTTAAGTTAAAATTAAGGAATGTTATTGTATGTTGTATGGATTTGTAAATTGGACAATAAGATTTAGATAAACTATTGAAAATTACGATTTCCATAAAAATTTGAAAGAAATTTACTGGTTGATAAAATAGTATTTGACCTCGAATTACAATGAAAAGTTTAAACTGGATAACGATTTATCTTAGAGAGAAATAAAAGAATTAGACTTGATATCAAGAAATAAGAAACTAGGAAATGCCAATTGATAGAAAAACATAAATTTGTATGTCAGGACATATATTGGACTTTTTGCTTGGCTGAGTTTGTCTTATTGAAAATGACTTCCGGAATGGTTTATCGATTTTTACATATTAAATAAACATTCAGTTCACTGGCCATAAAAAATTTCACGAAAAAAAATTTTCATGTTTACTCGATTGAATCAATCACTGGAAAAATAGTTATTTAAAATGATTCTGAAAGGGTAAATAGACAATTTTTTCTAGTGAAAAGTTGAATGTTCTTGTCGTTATTAATGATACTAACATTATTAAAGAGAATTTTCACTACGAATACAAATGATAAAAACACTCGTAAAGTCATTACAGAACCAGTTGATGATGTAACCCACCTTTTTAAAACTGTTGCCATCTAAGATGGTAGACTCTTCCCACACATGTGTTCTTTTACCTGAAACTCCTACAGTTTGATCTCGACCCACTGAACGCTTTTGACGTTTGTGCTTTTCCTAATCTCAATAATATGCATTTATTTTATTCAAGTACATCAACACGTTCTTCTTACTATCATGATGTTGAGGTTTGGTTTATTAGCCTTCATTTCTCGTGCTGAGTGTTGAAAAATTATACGTTCTAAGTGATTCTATACTATTTTGCAATCATCTCTTTAGTGGAAATAATTAAAATATAATTTTATTTAAATTATTTATATATTTTAAATATCGAAAAATTGTTACAAACATTCCTTTGATGAATCAGGAATAATTCTTAAAATAAATAAAACTTTTAATTAATTAATTGCATCATTTTTAAAAACATTCAACATTTTTAAGAAAAATATTTTTCAAGTGAAGATGTTTAAAAAATTGGTGAATTATTTTAACATTGATAAAATAGCAATTAAAAAAAAAATTCAATATTATATTGATAAGATTATAAAGACATTTGAATTTTATTCTAGGTTCACCGAATAAGTCAATTAATGAACGAAAGTCCAGAGGTGAGGAAACCAACAGTTCATCACATACCTATTACCTGTGAAAGTCCAACGGAAAAACGACAGAATAATACCACAATCCACACACCCGTGCCCGCTCCACCAGTGGATGACATGGAGCCACAAAATATTTCCTTTATTGGTAAGTTACTTAGAGAAAGTACCATAAAATGACTATTTAATTTTTAAGAATTTATACCAAGTGTTAATGTTTCTTTAATTATAGGAAATGATGACGATTTCGCACAAGGAATTAAACGACTGCACATAACATCTGGGAGTCGAACATACAGAATAGCATCACCAACAAAAACTACAATATCTCGAAATTCTTTTCAACCTCATTCATCACTTCGAGAAGCATCTCCGTCACCTACAACAGCACCTGAGATAACGCCTCTTGATTCTTCTGACGCTGGTGAAAAAGGATTTTATATTTCTTTCGATAATGATGCACCCAAGAAACCGAAACCTACCCTTAGAGTCAAGAGATCGCCGAAAAAGGTATAAATCCAATAAGTTTTTCAAATTTATTTTATGCATTTTTAATTTTATTTTATATTTTATTGACTATTACTAAAAAATAAATGTTTCTGTCTAAAAAGGAGAGGGCCGTTTCATCATTTATTGAATCAGAAGACATGACAACACGTCCTGAATCTCCAGTCAGTGCAGTAGAGCGACATCGTCAGCTAGAAGTCCAAAAGGATTTAGAAAAAGAAAGGCAACGTCAAGCTGAAGAGCGTGAACATCAGAGACAAGAAGCACGCGATAGGGAATTGAAGAGAGAGATAGATAAGGAAAGAGCTCGAGAAGAAAGACAGAGAAATAATAGTGAAGGTCGCCAGGGAGTTGGTTTAGTGATTGGCAATCAACTTGCCAATCCTGATCCCGTAAGTAAAGATTAAGTAAACAGTGAAATTTCTATTATGTAATGTAACATAAATTTGAAAATCATATTTTCGAATAATTAATAGAATTCCGTGGATGAAATGGAAAGGAAAAAAGAACGAATTATGCTTTTATCACTTCAAAGAAGACAACAGCAGGAGGAGATGAAGGAAAGAAAAGAGGCTGAAGCACAATCAAGAAGAGAACAAGAAAAATTGAAAGAGGAAGAACGTGCTCGAAAGAAAGAAGAAGATCGACAGAGGAGAGCTGCAATTTTAGAACAACACAAATTGAAGAAAGCTATTGAAGAAGCTGAACGAGAGGTAAATTGATTAGATTATTTTTAATTAATTGATAAATGAATTTTCGGTTCAAATCGAAAATATGTGGAAATAATGAAATTATTTATAACCACAGGGAAAAGTAATTGACAAAGAACTTCTTAATGCCATAAAACCTACTGCAAAATTACGTAATAAGACTGCATCGGCTCGACCACGACCGAAAACCATTCATGTAGATCAAAGCTCAGAATTGGATTCTGGAGCTTTGACTCCTAGTCGCGGGAAGAAAGGTTCTTCCTCTAATCTCAGTACAGGTAAGTCATTTATTATCACTACATTTATTCAAGTATCAAAAAAACATATCAGTGTAATTTATCCTAAATGTCATTGTAATTGCATTGCTCTTTGCATGATAAATATTTACAAAATATATTTTTTTTTTGTTTAATGCCATTTTTATGGGATAATTTTGTTAAAAATTGTTTTCACAACTCTATCCAACCACAATATGTATTATAAGCTCTAATTTTTCTTGCCAAACATTAGTTTGTATAAATCAGCTAGACTACACAATTGATAGAATAACATTTAGAAGTCATAACTAAATCATCAAGAGATAATAAAGATTAATTCAAGTAGGCTAGAAAATAAGAGCTGTACATGGTTTTTGCACTAACACACTGACTGTAGCGACGCTGATCTCACCAACGATGAAGCGAGACTACTTCCGAGGCTCGCAGGACACACTCACTGCTGCCCACTTTGATGATCGGCGAGCCGGAATCCTCTCTAGGGGTGGCAGTCTCAAGGGTATGCACAACACGCACTCTTTCACTCACAAATTTATTGAGTTAATAATCCATAAAACTGTACATCTCTATATCAGCTTTTAATAACAATGTAAGGACTAAATGTTTTCTTTAATAATTTGTAATTATAAAGACTATAAAATTTTTGCAAGTTTATGGATTAATTCAATAAACAAAACAAACAATTTGTATTAATTTGTTTTTAACAATTAACACTGAATTTTTTAAATTGTATTTTTAATATAGCATGAATCCTAAATCTGTTTTATTCATTATTATATCCTATTGTAGCTTTTAAAAAGTAGATAGAATAGAGATAAATTGTTTCTTCCATTTTAAAAATATATTGTAATAGTATTACCCTTTTTAGTATCTTCTGTAGACTCACCTGATGACGGTAGAGGTTGTTCTCCTTGTCGAAGCTCAACTCAACTTGGACGTCGAGGCTCTTATAAAACATCACGAGGTGAGTCAATGTGTTTTCTATAATGTAATTTATAAAGAAAAAAAACTAATTATTTTTTCCGTTTTTTTTTCCAAGTTGAATGTAAAATGTCTTGAGTGTGAAGCTTTGCCGTGATAGCTTATTATACAGGATGCTAAAAAAATTCACCCTCATTATTGTTGGTTCTGTCCAAGAATCATAACAGACCACAATACTTTATTTTTTGCAAAAAAAAACAATTTTTTTAAGTAGCGCCTTGGAGTAGTCACGAATTTCAGTTATGTAATGTCCGCACTAAGCTGCACAAACATTGATTTTGATGTGTCCTTATGGATATTGCTGGTAGTTAGAAGTCGTGACCCCTTACATACGTGCGAAAACACAAATAGCATCATTAAAAATTTAAAAATTAATTTAAACATGATTATTACAAATATTTTAACTGTTCCGGCCGTTGTTAAAGGCTTGCGAGTGTAACATCGAAAAACGTTGCATTATATTGCAGATGCGCAGGAGCCTCAGCAACAGCCTAGAGGCAGGCCTAAATACTCAACTTACCAAAACTTTAAAGGAAGAAAGTCAAATTCGTTGATGAATTTGTGTGGTAAGAAGCACTAGATGACTTGATGAATAAGTTTACATATTTTCTGTCCCCATATTTATGAATTCTAATTTTCTATTCGTGCAATATCGTCTTTGGTGTCTTCCCATTACACAACCACACAGTTTTGTAGGCAGTTTAATTCATTAATTAGAAGCATGGTGGAAGACATGGATAATTCACAGGTGGAAGTGTTACACGCACACATCAACACTAATACTAATTAATTAATAACATTGATATTTATTTCATATATATCAGTTAATATGTAATTTAATGACCTTCATCAGTAGTTAACTCATTAGTTATCATAGCCATAGCTCGGTCAACGCTTACTGGGCTTGTTGTACAGCACTTGGTTGTGGCGCCTGATTTTTCAGTAATTTCAGATTAATCATGATGGATCCGGTTGTTCGTTAGTACTTACATGAAAATGAAACAGTTTAACTACTCATTGATTGAATCATTCTAGTTCATAATTACAAAAGATAATGTTTTGAAATGCTTTAGAATATAATACAGGTCATATTGTTAACAAACAGTTTGCAAATTAGTGTTTTTAACTTTTCAGGTGTTAGCTTAATGTTCATGGAATCAATTTTCTATTAAATATTTGTGTATAGCATTTATAGATTTTTTTTGTAGTTGAGAGAGTCATTTTGCTTCATGAAAAGTTCAAAAAAGTTTGAATTTATAACTCATCTTGCTTTTCTTCAAAATGTATAAAGTTATTCATTCGAATTCAGAGAGCTTTCATTGTTATTATTAAATTTGAAGTTAATCGTTATTGTAATATTTACCATTTCTGATCTTTATAATCACATAATATAAATGAACAAACAATACGTATTTTAGGTTGACAGGAAATAACTTTAGTAAGTTACTTACCAGTTGGTGAAGGGTTTTTAATATTATGAGTAAAAACTTAGTAATCATCATAACTGAAAAAATAAAAAAAAATTAATCAACTAATCGGAAAAAATTTGAAGTCCCGATTTTTGTTTATTTTTTTATTTTTATCATTTAAACAATATTTAATTTCATTTCTAGATTATTCAATTTTGATTGAAAAATGATATTAATGTCAATTTAGATACGGACAGTGGTTTGGGTCGTGCAACACCACCAAGAAGAGCACCTAGTCCTGGAATGGGCAGCACAAAACATTTACCGTCTCCATCTGGTCCTGGATCTCTGCCTCCCGGTCTTATGTCGAAGCGAAGATTCGATGATGGTAGCAGTGACATCAGTAGTACGCCTAGTTCGATGATGGAGTACAATGGTACTTACATCACATCTGAAGAATTTGAAGCATGATAATATATTTTTTATATTTCAGGTCCTCGGCTCTACAAACAACCCGCAACGAAATCGAATCGTGGAATAATGTTGAATGCTGTCGAGTACTGCGTCTTTCCTGGAACTGTAAATAAAGAAGCTAAGAGAAGGGTATTGGATGAAATCGGTAGATCCGAAAGCAAACACTTTCTTATCCTCTTCAGGGATGCTGGTTGCCAATTTCGTGCTCTTTACTCGTACTGTCCTGATAGAGAAGAAGTCACTAAACTCTGTGGTACTGGACCTAAACAAGTCATCGATAACATGTTTGATAAGTTTTTCAAGTATGTCAAATAACTCAAATTTAAATCTCTTATTAAGTCTGATTTTTATATTTAAAAAAAATTTAATTATTTCTTGTTAATGATTAGGATAAATTGTTTTTTTATTTTTCTTTGTTACAAGTTAGTTCTTTCAAAATTTACATTGTTAAAAATGAACACAAAATTTAAATGATGTATTGATTATTTCGTGCTTTAAAATTATCTTTTAGTTAATGATAATTATTATTTATTATTTTAGATATAATTCTGGTGGTAAATGTTTCTCTCAAGTCCACACGAAGCATCTGACTGTAACCATCGATGCCTTCACGATACATAATAGCCTTTGGCAAGGTAAAAAAGTGAATTTACCAAACAAAAAGGACATGGCGCTCGTCATATAGTTTTACAAAAACCTAAACTTTACCTCTAACATTATTAAAAATGATTCTGCCTCTGTTGTTTATAGTTACTATTTTAATACAACCCTATAAAAATGCAAACGTTGCGTTCTTAGTCAATTTTTTGTTACAGAAGATCATTCTTGATCGACGATACATTACAATACAATTATTCTTATTTTTAATAAGCGATTTATCAGTCATTACCAGTAACAAAAATTTTCAAAAAAAATATTTTTTACGATCCGGTGTTTGTTCTTTTTCGTATGTTTTTTTATTTTATATTTCTATATTTACCATTAGGTTAAATTAATCTGCAACACTAGTACCGATTTGACAATGTTGATAATGAGATTATAAATAACAAAATACATTGATAAAAATAGGAATTGTCTATTTATAACAATTGAAAAAATATTTGCGGACTAACTTATGATATTGACAACTATTATTTTTTTGATTATGATATATATATATTTTAAAATTGTTCTTATTGAAATTTGAGTGCACTTTCGATGAGTATATAATATTTAATTACCCTAATTAATTTATCAACAACAAAAAGAATAAGAAAAATCTATGAGCTTCAAGTTGTGTTTCTATCATTAAGACAAAAGTTAGGAAGTTTCTTCGTAATTGGTAGATTGTTAAATGTTTAATTGCTTCCAACGATTAATGCATAAATGATACATTTGAGTCTTTTATTTATCATTGAATGAATTATTTAGAAAAAAGATTATTAATTAATTAAAAATAATTTAACTGCAAGATTGTTTAGGGCGAATCAAATTTTATTAAATAATTCAATTAATATTAATTAATAAATAGTCAATAAATACCATTGTCATTACTTAATTATATTTATAAAACGTGACAGACGTGGAATAAATCTAATTAAGATATTTATTAATTATTTTTTAAGTAATAGACTATTTTTAATCTATACTATTAATTAATATTAATTGTCAATCATTTAAGTAATGATGACATATACAGTAAAAAGCAATTATTTTAAATAAATTGATAATCTTCTTTCTTTATTAAGTCGAGTGACTGTTGACAGTTGCATCGATGAGTGTGATTACAATTTACTTGTTGAGATTCTGTATGAGCAGTTCATGGACATAAATAGTTTTGTAAATAAATAAGTTGATTGCAGTTAGTAATGGAAAAATACCAAATTAGCCTTACAGTCAATTTGGCAAATATATTTTTTTTCGTTTTTTTATACAAATAATTGTAAAAAAAATTTTATCATGCGCTGAACTTGTCGCTTATCATATTGGATCGCTTCCACTTTTAATCTACGGTCCATGGAATCATACAAATGAGAAAAAAAAATTTTCATATCTATCATAAATTATTTCATATCAGTCTAATTATTTCATTAAAAATGGATATTCACTCTATTATTTTAGTCAGTATTTTATATTGAATTTTCGTTTTTTGTTGTGTTTGAATGTAAATTCTCTTAAGATATGTCTTCCCGAATTGGTTTCTAATATGCTGAATTAGATCGGCGGCTTCTATGTTTTAATTGTGAGCGTGCAATCAGAAGAACTAATTATTGTGCCATAAATCCCAAAGCCGTGAGATGTCAAAGCACCAAGTCGGTTATTTGTAAGTCATAACTTGAAGAGAAAATGTTCGTACATACTTGAAAAAACGTTTTTTAATCGAGAACTAAACAAATGCAAACAAAAATAAATAAATAAAAAAATTGGAATAAAAATACAATGCCTGAATTAATTAACATATCGAATTTCCCAATAATCTTTCATTAAAAATCATTAAAATGACCGAGCTAGAAATTCCAAAAGGATCGAGAGGAGATTTTAAAATAATAAACATCAAAGTGAAGCCTCGAAAAAATTTGTAATTCGAATATTTAATAAAAATGTATGTTTAACACTGATATGTTATTAAATGTATCGCGTATTTTCACACAGCGTTTAAAAATATTTACATCTAGTTAAATCAGAGAAATCAAGGATTAAGTAATTATATTTAAAGAAAATTAAAAAATAGGATAATATTCATATTAATTAAAATGAAAACGGTCCGATATGACAATATTGTGTGCGGCAAATGCCATAATGGATGAAAAAAATAAATGATTTAAAGCGCATTGCTCATCACAGCGAGCTCTGTATAACGCTAAAGTTTCGAATTGTCTTTTAATGATGTGGATTGTTTTTGATGATAAGGAATGTGTTTAGTCACTAATAATAAATATATAAGAGTTTATGTGACTGATTATCTGGTGACAACTAATTTATTAAATAAAACGTTGTCGAATTAACGAATTACTATGTAACGATGCAAGAACTATCTTAAAAAGTGATTACTTGTGCTTGATAATGATATTTTTCAAAAAAGAAAAATATTATCAGTGAGCTGGATAAATTGGCGCGTAAATAATAGATTGAAAAACTTATAAGAAAAGTAAAAAATTATTTGAAAAATTAAGTAAATTGAGTAAAAATATAAACAATTAAAAAATAGCGTAAAAACGTGAGAAACGGCGGGTATATGAAGAAAGTAAATGAAAAAAAAAGATAATATTTAAATGTGACGTGTGTGAATGCATGTGTGTGTGTGTGAATATGCTGCCGTAAACTGCGCTTACTAATAATAAATAAAAAATTGCTCTTTGTGTAATAATCCTTACTTTTTATCGTCATCAAAAGAAAAAGTTAAAAAACAAAAAAAACATCAAGAGATGGAACTTTTGTCTATAATAATTTTTCAATTTACCCATGTCTGTAAATATTATGTTTTTATATATACATATAAACGAAACTACTACTCGATTTAAGTACATCAAGTAAAATTTGGGTCATATTTTACTGTTAGCATCTTGCAGCGAATGTCATCAATAAAATTCAATAACCCATTATTGGAGTATTCATTTGGATAACTATTCATTATTTATACTTTCAACATATACATTTAGTTTGGAATTCACTGTTTATTTTTGCTTTCAAATAGTGAATAAAAAAACTAACTAAATTATTAGTTAAAATTAATTCATTTATTTTAGAGAAACATTTTTAATAATTATATAAAAGTAAAATTTTATTTTTCAACAGTTATAATATATATGAATATGTTTTAAAAACACAATTGAAAGTACATTTTTCAGGTAAGAGAGATAGATAATTTATAAAGTTGATACATTTTTAACATATAAAATTTTTTGATCTATAAGATAGAAATAAATTTCAATAAACTTAGAATTTTAAAGAAAAATTCCATCATTTGAAGATAATTACATAATAAAATAAAGTAGAAAAGTACAGAAAGTAAAAACACATATAAAAGATGTCATCTTTCGCAAGTATTGCCATAGCATTGACATTAATACAACTTGAGATTATTAAAAAAATTTCGAAAGCTTACAAAATGCCATTAACTACTCATACTGTTAAATCACCACTTGCGAAAGGGACTAAATCATATTGACTTAATAATTTATGAAATAAATGGCTTGCGAACAAAATATATGCACAAACAGAGATATAGAATATCATAGAAGCAACCCACGTTGTTACGTCGTCACTGTCGATGTTAGAAACGTCGTTCTCAATTACTGGATCTCTGAAAATAATAACATTTTTAAAAATTATTTCAGTAATGGTGATTGATTAAATCCAGTATATTTACAAACCTGTTTTTCCGATCAAAGTTTTTCACAGCCATAAAAAAATGATGAAGACGGTCACGATAATCTGAAAAGTGTTTCCGGAAAAGGTGATCTGCGATGTAACTACTCCTATAGTAATTTCTTCGATTATTTTCGGGTAGCGACCTGGGTACTTCTAGAGTATAAGTATTGGTTTTTGGATCGAGCCAACTTACATTATATTCTTCTTTGAGAAGATTGAAGCCTGAAAATAAACAAAAATAATACACTTATAATGCTTAACGTTTATCAAGTAAAATCTTCAGTCATTTTATAGCAAATGTTAAACTATCACATACCTTCTTCTTTAAGACAACCGCAGGCCATCTGGGATTTAAACCAAATTATCGTTCCAGGACGAATTCTTCTTTGAATCACTCTAACTAACGTTAATGGTGCTCTATCTGGGACTATTTCAAAGAAGAAATTTCCACTGTCTTTCTCAAAGCCGCTGAAAACCCATGTACCGTCGGTGGAATGGGAACCATATTTGTCTTCGAACGTAGCTTCATTCATCTTCACAATAATATTTTGTCCACCCAATTCCGGGGCAGAATTGCGTAAACACCAATCTTGAAAAACTTCACGAATGAAGATAGACCAACGAATTGCTAATTCACTAGAAATATTCGTTTCTTGTATGAGTCTTTCGAGATTAAGTGAATCCATTTGCAAATATAATGCTAGAAATAAGCAAGTTTTTGCTGGAGATAAATAAAGGCTTTCCAACAGATCATCAGGACGCACTAAACGTTCAAAACCGTGCCCACTTTGACAATACCAATGTGATTTATCGCTGCTAAGCTTTGCAACTTCATCACATTCAGTACACTTAACTTGCAGATCTGCAATTCCATGATTATTGACAATTTCTAAACACTTTTTATCAATATGAAACGTACGGAGAGCTTCAACATGTCCAATTTGACATCCGTTACAAGCCATGGTTGATTGCTTACTAAATTTTATAAAGCTACTTATTTAATTTTGTGCACTGAGACACATATAAAACCATCTTCTATCGTAAGAAAATCTATAATCTTATCCAAGGACTTTGTGTCAACTTGGATGTAGCATTTTGAAGCAGAATGTAAATACAAACATGATTTCGTTTGAATTTTCATGGACAAGCGATAAATATTCGTTAGAAAAGTTTATATGTTTATTTCTGTTCATAACTTTTGTTTACGAGTACCTAAATCAAATTTGTATTGCTTCCTTCCTATCGAATTCTAATTAGAAAAAGATTCATTGCTCCAAAACTGACGATACCTGTTTATTTAGCCTTTCCCACCTTTTCGAATACATGTATTTTTATTTAGAAAGTTCTCGAATTTATGGACTCATTTTTTAAATTATTTACTTAATAAATAATTGTCCCAAATGTTTCTTTTAAAGAAATTGTAGAATTCGATTAAAATAATAAAAAGTTTTGAGTATTAGAATGAGGGTGAAGTGATTAAATTTATAATAAAATTATATTTTATTTTTTTTTATTATTAAAAAAAAGATAATTAAACATTAATTGCTTTGTTAACCATTTATGGCAATCAAAATATATTACAATATTTATTATTTTTTTCTTTATTAATTAATTAATTATTTGTTTATTTATTTAATATTAAGCATATAAATATTAAAAATATTTTTTTCGTAAAATTACTTCTAAATTATTGCAAATATTATTCTATGAAGAACACTTTTTACAAGATAATCTTTCAGTCTAAAAATAATAAATCTAATTTCATGCAGATGTTAGAAATATTTACATTGAGAAAAAAAATTATTTCTAGAATAAATAAACTACTCGCCTTTCAATAAAAAAAAAAAGAGAGAGAGCGGAAGGAAAATGTTTCTAAATAGCTAGATGATAGTTATGAGAAATCTTATAAAAATATTACATTGACTATAAACTTTTATTTTAGTAATAATTTTTTTCTCAATGCTTACAAAAATGTGATTTTTAAATTAAATACTTGATTGAATAATCTGTTTTCAGATATAAAATCTTTCCCATATAAAAGTATAAAAAACATTTTTTCCGGGAACTAATGAATTTGTTGTATTTTAATAAAGTACATTTATCATTTCTATTATTATTTCTCCATTTTATCGATTAATAAATAATCCTGGATTAAATACTGATGTACAATGGCGTTTAATAAGAGACTCTCGGTAAGAGATTGTAATTAAACCTAAAAATGGCAGTGTCAAAGTTATTTCTTTCGTAGAATAATGGTGCTCCTACATGAATTTACTTCATTATTAATAAGACTTGTAATCTTGTTCCCACTGATTTTGCATCTCTCCTACATTCTATTCTTGCTAACGTTTTATTTTACATGAATTCATTCTTTACTGCTTAGCATCTTTTGGCTTCGTTAAGTCTTACGTCTTAAATATCTTTTCATATTTAATCTTCCTCTCTGTATTATCTAATTTTTTCGATTAAAAATTTATTTGAATGCTTTTAATTGGCATAGAGAGTTCAAGTTTCATATCAAAGTACTCTTGCCATGGTCAGGTATTAGAAAACAGTCTTTGGAAGACTCCTAGAATTATATTTTACATGGCGCTTTATTGAACAGGACACGAGCTTAAATGAATGTTGTGTAATTCAGCCATGTCAGTCCAATCTCTTCTTTCACCTCCGATCATAACATTTCTTATACAACCGTTGAAATGGTCACGGGTAATTAACGTTCCCTTCGGAGCTGAAGCTTTAAAGAAAAATACGAATAAAAATTATTAATCATCATGACATGATTACTATTACATGTTATATTCAATTTCTCATCTAGGTTTATCTGAGAAAATATTACATGAAGTATGTTGGAAACGAATAATTACCTGGCAAGCCTCCAATATATAAAGGACTAGAAGCAGTAGATGCCATAAAGTGTTCATTAGCATTCGCTGGCAAACCGTATTTCTGATCCAGTTCATCAACTTTAAGAGCCAGCTCTTCATCATTATAAATAGCCTGTATCCTGTGCCATCTATTGTCACATATCGTGTAAGGATTGGGGAAGTGTTGTTCTACATACAGAGGATTTTTATCTCCAAGATCTCCGGACATAATCACCTTTCCATTATTTAATTCTACTGATAATGAAGGTGATCCTCCCGGTGCTGTTATAGATAATAGAACTCCAGATAATTCTGATGTTCTAAATTCTAGCTGTAGTTCAATAACTCCACCGAGTTCAAAATTTTTTTCTGCAAACAAAAATTAATATTGTTAATGATTTATTTAATCTAATGTATGTTGATGTTAATTAATTAATTCCATTCTTACTGTAGACAGCATAGGCTTCGTCTTGGAAATAAGCGCCACTCTCGACGCTTGGAAAACACTGGCCAACATTAAAAGGTCTACTTGTAGATCCAACCATATCATAAATATTTCCATTAACTCTAAGACCTCTTATACATCCCTTTAGAGTTTCCAGCTTGCCAACAACTTGTTCCGGGAATGGTGTTCCACTCTCAGGAAGTCCTCCAATATACATCATCGTTTCAAGTCCAATTTTTTTCGGTACTTTCATCGTTCTTGGAGTTTGAGAATCAACGACCAGCGTTAATCTTTTTTCCTCATGGTTAATAACAACATGATGCCAGTTTCCATCATTGAATGGACTCTTGAACGCTACTTCCTTTCTTTGTTTACTTTTCATAATTAATACCAAATGACTATCTCGAACTATTACCATTAAATATTGCTTCCTCTTAACTCCAGGTGTTATGAATAATAAGCCATTGGGATAATATGTTCTAAAATCAAACTCTATTATGTACTTTTTCTCCCAGAACTTTTTAAAGTTGAGGTAGAGTTGGGTATGGCTATGGGATTTATCACCAAATTTCAAAGCTCCTGGTTCTAAAGAGTAATAAGGAACTTTTTGACATCCTTCAGGTTGAGTAGATAATCCTCGTGACAAAGAAGCAGATGGAATGTAACTAGGAGGATCTTTTCCCATTATTGGTCCAGCTCTTCCGATAGATGCATGATCGAAAGTTATAGCTTCATCAAACCTTAATATCTCATCATTAAAAATAGCATCTTTAATAGCTCCATAAAGTGGTACAACGGATCCAATCATCTTCGTGTTATTAATCAATGCAGGTAAACCTCCGAAGAAAAGACCACCAAGATCAGGAGCTCTTACAGCTGCTCCACTTGGCAATTTTCCACTAGCTTGATAAGCATCATCAACTCGTAACTCTATCTCTTTTCTTTTCTTTACTATCGTTACCACATGATATTTGCCATCATTATAAGTGTTATTAGACTGAAGAATTAACTCCCCTTTACCGGAATTCAATCTTATCTGAACTTGACCTTCAACAATAGCTACAGAATAATACATATTCTTGTTAGTTTCCTCATCTCCATTGTGAATATTATTTAATCGGTCTTCCTGTCCTTGGAATGTTGATAACAGCAATGCAGCTTCCTTCTGCATCGTCCGGAAGGAAAAATTGATAAGTGAGTGAATTTTTTTCAACGGAAATGATCGATATTCAAGATAACCATCACCATAAAAGCCTACAAGTCTCATTGGCTTATTTCCACACGTCGGCTCTACTCCGTAAAATAGTTCGGCCATTGGATCGTACCCTTCTTGAATATTAATGTTGGACATGCATCCTAAAAATGATACTTGAGAAGGTAACAAAACTTTTGTCGTTCTGAAACTGGGTGGAACACCACCAATGTAATATTTAGCTTGACCTAAATCAGGAATGTCTTCTTTTTTCGGCTGAGGAGTTGGAGCTCCAATTCTCTTATCGTTGTCTCCACCAACAGTCAAACTACATTTTTCAATATTTTTCCGTAATTGATATTGTCTAAAAGCATCAACTTTAGTCCAATTTCCATTATTATATTTATAAGTTGAAGACATCTCCATAGAAATATTTCCTCCATAGCCTATATGAAGAATTACTCTTCCTTCCCGTAAGAAAATCATGACATATTGATTATTATCTTGATTGATAGCAAGAAACAGTAATGCATTTTCATCGAAGGTCCTAAAGCTGATGGAAACACCGAATGTATACTTATTATAAGGTCCTGAAGTAACTCTATTCCTCACAGCATATCCTTCACCATTGAAACTATAAGCGATATCATCTCGAGCGTCTTCTACTCCTTCAACACAAGCCTTACAAGCTTTATCTGGTGCAGAAGTAATGAAATTCCATAGTCCAACAGGCTTGCCATCAAGAAGTACTTGATGAATACATCCAGGAAGACCATTAGTTGCAAGTAATTCTGATGGACGTCTTTGAGATCCTGGAATTCCTCCTATCCAGACTCTATCAGTACTGCTTACATCAAATCTTCCGAATTCGGAATTTGTGGAATTAATTACTGGCAAATATTTTCCACTAGTTGATGCTTGTTTACGAACACTTAATTTACCCATATGACGAATCCTCTCAGCTTCAATTCGATACCAGAAGTTATCTTGTTGAGGATCTCCACTTTCTAAAACCTCTGGATGAGTAAGAATACCAGTTCCTCCACCAACATTCCATAGAAATCGTATTTTTCCTTCTACCATTTCTAGAGCTACAAAATCATCATTTACACTACTAGATAAAAAGAACAAAGCTCCTTCTTTCCGATGGTGAGTAATAGCAAAAGTGATAACAATTGATGTAGTGGTTGATGGTTGAAGATTTACCGGCCGATAAGACCTCATACATTTCTTTCCTTCTACTGACTTCAAAGAAATACGAATTCCGTCTGCTGTATTTCTTGCTTCCATTATTTTATTCTTCAATTTCTTAATTTTTTCTCCAAGAGTATCATTCCATCTATCAAATTCAATTTGTCGTTTCGCTGAAGCGTGTGCAAGACTAATTAATTTAGCATCAGCTTTTTTGATGTTACTTTGAGCTTCTGTTAATTTTTCGCTGGCTAAGCTAATTTTAGAATCACCTTCTCTCTTCAATTCATGCAATTGTGGTCTTAAATCATTAGCTAATCCTTCTTTATAGTCATTTATTAATTTCTCAGACTCAATTATTGATTCCAATAATTTTTTATGATCAGCCTTGGCTTCTACCATGGTTTCTCGAAACTTATTACTTTCATTGTTTATTTCTCGAAGTTTAACATTTATTTGATTATCTTTTGATCCTGTATTGTTTAAGGCCATTTTTAAGTCAATGACTGCTTGTTTCTGATCGTGTAATTGATTTTTTGCAAGATTATACAGTTCTTCAAGTTCTTGGGCTTTTTCTAGCTGGTTTGCAGACTTTTCTGATATTTCCGCTGCACTGTCAAGTAAAGATAGACTCTGAGGACCATCTGGGAAGACCTGTAAATTGTTATTTATTTTTTGTTCAGTTATTAATATGTCATGTGATAATTATCATTATTGAAAATATATAATCTTACTTTATGATAGGCATTCCAACCGGCTTCTTTTGCAATAGTGGCTGCGTGTCTGGCTTCGGTTAAGTTGTCAACGATATTTTTATAAGCCTGACTTGCTTTCAGAGGATTTGCTGCATCATTCCGCGTTCGATCGAATAATCTGTTAATCATATAAACATGATATAAGCTTTTGCTGTTGTTATTTCAGTTTTATTTAGTAAATAAACTAAATAAAGAATTCTAATGTATGAAAATCAGAAAAATTTTAAATAATAACTTACGAAATACATTGATTAACATAATCAGATAAATTCTGTGCATGTCCAGCGGCTTTAACTACATACTTTTCCTCATATTCATAATTTAAACGGTATAAAATTTCTTCCTTAATATCCAGTTTCTCCGACCAATGTTCCAGCTTGTTTTTCAACTCCGGCAAGTCCTATATACAAACGTTATACATAAAAAAATACATTTTAACAGTTCATTACAATAATTACAAGTATTTAGTATCATGTGCTTGTTTTATTCACCTGGAAGTTATTTTGAATATCAATGATGAATCCTTTCGACTCTTCATTCAACTTTGTTCCTTCGTCAATCAATCCAGTTGTGTCAGAATGATAAATATTACTATCGTCAATATGATTTCTGGATTCATTATAATTTTTATGAATGTCGTTATATAACTTGTCATAACTAAAGAGATTTTCCATTGTTTTTTCAAGTTTTTCTTGAAAGTCCGTTGCTTTTACCTCATAATGACTAATATTTTTGCGCAAATTTTCTACAGGTTCCAATGCTTTAAACTGTTCATTTATCCATGCAATATTGTCTTGTGCATCTTCAAGAAGTTTTTGACACTCTTGAGATTTTTGTGACAAATTGATGTGTTTTAAATAATTTAAAACAGTTTGGGCCTCTTTTAAAGCTTTTTTAATCTCTACTTCTTTCACAACATCTCCATAGTGAGTAAGCTGTGATGTAGTTGCTTCGATAAGATCTCGTAAATTTTTTATCTCGACATGGGCACTGAAAACATTATTCTTAAAATCTTCACACTTGGGTTTAAAATCCCAAGCTTTTGAGCTCAAAGTTACAGTACTTTTTAGCAATCCTTCAACAGCTTTCATCATGTTCTTGTACTCTTGCCAAGGAATATCTCTAACGCGATTCTTAAATGAATTTATTTCCTCGATTTCTTTGAAAAATGCAGTCAAGTTGGAATCAATAAAAGATAATTCTTCCCAAGGTGGTGGTATATATCCGTTAGCTATGTGAGTAGTTTCTGAAGCCAATTTGTCAGACATTATCGCCAAATCATCAAGCAAAATGCCTGTACAGTTGTCGTTACATGCTGCAAATTAAACAAATAAAACAATAAAATGAGAAATGATGAAAAATAGAAATTTTTCTATGTTTACTCATCTTTCATAAAGATAAAAAATTCTACAGATACATACATGTACAGATGTTATCAATGAAAACATGACGAGAGGCAGTACACTGAGAACAATCTCTTCCTGTTGATCCTGGCCTGCAGTTACATTGTCCTGTTTCTTCGTCGCATTCATCACTCGCACTTCCCGCTGGGTTGCAGTTACATGGAGTACAAACTCCACCAGGTATACTAGGATATCCATAATATCCGTACGAACATTTCTCACATCTCGAACCAGTGTATCCTGTAACGTTAATACCGTCAAGAAGATATTCACTTTATACACAGTCTAAAACTATTATTAACTTTTAGAACTCTCGCTCAGAGCATAAGATATTTTATTTTATATTGAAAGATTATCATTAGTCGTAACAATGTTCTTGTTTGCTCTAAGATTAAATTATTTACTACTTGAGAGATAAAATAATAATAATAATAATGGAAAAAGAATATGTACCTGGTTTACAGTGACAAACAGGCTCCTCATTAGCTCGAACATCACAACCGCTGGCAAACCTTTTGTCAGCATGAGGACAAGGACAAGGTTTGCATCCATTATAATCAGGATGACCATAAAAACTTTCTTCGCAAACATCACAGTGTGCACCTGCTGTATTCTCCCGACAGTTCTGAAAAAATAATCAGCAATAAAAAAGTGCTTAAGGTACTGTGAAGAATAATATTTATTCATCCTTGGTAATGGTTATTTTTGTTAAATTGATTTTTTTCTCTCATTCAAAAATAATTTCCTGAGTACGTGTAGATAAAGATGTAAATGATTTATTGTTTAAAATAAAAAAACTCACTGAACAATAACCAGTTTCAATGTCGCAGATTTCGGATCTTCCATTACATTGACAACGTTGTGCTTGACCCACTAGGTCAATTATGATAGTAGAAGTTGTCGTAACGTTATTATGCCATCGATAATAACCAATACTTGGATCTTGACAGGATGTATTGTTATACTCGGCGGGACACTCACAAATTTCCACGCCTATAGCGAGAGATGGCAAATGCGTAGGCGTCAGTGAAGCCACATCCAAAGAAGCCTCGAGCAATCTACATTTAATATTCATAGTTTATTATTTCCATTTATAAGAAAAAAAAAAATAATTTTAACAGCTGTATGATCTTATCTTGTCTTTTAGTGTTTAAGTCTACAGAGAACACTTACGTTGCTTCTTCAAAGTTTGAATGCTCTGATGCTCGTAACAAGATGTGCTGAATGTTTTGTAATGCAACCATTAAGATTTCTCGGGATACTTTGTAATCTGGCCTGTTTCGAATTTTCCATGAAGACTCGTGTAGTCTAAAAATAAATTATTCATTAATTCTTAATTATACTAATTATCAGTGAATCTGGGGAATAGATAGATTAATTACCTAATTTTAAAGTGATTATCTTCAACAGGTATCTGCTGATAATGCTCCAAAATAATTTTATCATTCCCTTGAATCTGAATAAGTGGATATCGAAGACTAGATCTTAAAGGAATTCCACCTGTGGTAGAAGTCTTAAATCTTAAGAACCCACCGTAGGAAGCTACCTATAAGAGTTTTAATCGATTAGTTAGCCATAGATGAATAATATGAAAGATGGTATATTATTGAAAAATCACAAAGTGTCAAAAGTCAAACATACTTTATCACCCAGAAACGATTCAGGTAGTTTCCAATAGAGCGGATAGTTGTAATAAAGATTAGCCGGCAGTATGACATCACCTTGAGTACCAGGAATGATGGATAACTCATTCGTCGTATTAAGACCACCATTTAAGATAGGTAAAACTGAGGAATATCCAAAGTTGGCAACCTGATAGAGGAAAAAGTATAAAAAAAGTCTTATCAATCATGTCATCTGATTCTTAGTGTTTTTAAATGTTAGATGTAATATAATTCATAATCAACTCTCCAGAAACAGGAGAGCAGCTGGCCTTGAATAAGTCACTTACGATGATATCATTAACAGAATCATCAATGCGAACTGTTCGGTAACGTGATAGATGACGCGAACCCCAACTGAGATTCGCTTGTCGACATTCTGTTGTTCTTCTAAAGCAGAAACATTCAGTACAACCGTCTGGATTGTTTTTGTCTAATCCAAAGGTTTGATCTAAACATTGATTGCATTTTCTTCCGATGACATTTTTCTGAAATGAAATAACGATGAAGTAGAAATGATCTTTAATTAATAATTAAATGTCTTGGAGTTTGATTTATTACCTTGCAGGGACACTGCCCATTACGATCGCAATGGCAAAGCCCTTCAGCACATCTAAGAGTTCCTCCTTCATCACAATTGCACGGTTTACATTTAGGATATCCATAATACCCTGGAGCACATCGATCACATCGAAGACCATCAAATCCTGCACGACAAAGACATTGACCTCTAGCATCACATTGAGATTTCATTGATCCTGGCGAACATGCACAAGGCTTGCATCCAATTCCTGGTATTAAATCATATGATCCAGGTCTACATCTGTCACAGTGTTCTCCCAATGTTAAGTAAGGACATACACAGCGACCAGTGTTAGGATCACAAATGTGGCCAGCTTTTTCACAAGGATCACAAACTATAATTGAATTTTTTTATTAATTATTATTGAAGATAATTATTAAATGATATGCAGGATATATTGTTTCACCTTGACATCCATTTTCAGAGAACCCATAATATCCAGGTAAACATACATCACAGTGTATGCCATCAACACCTGGACGACAATGACATTGTCCTGAATCTTGATCACAAGATACATTAAATGATCCTATACTATTACAGTTACAAGGAGCACATCCTGCACCAGTTGCCAGACCCCAGTATCCTTTCTACAAAATCATTTGAGTTAAAATAATTAATGATTCTATCACTGGTTTATTACAATTTTTGTTAGATAATTATATACCTCACACTGATGACACTGTCTTCCAATAACATTGGACTTGCATTCACATTGTCCACTGACAATATCACATGATGATGAAACAGATCCAAGTGAATTACATCGACATCCTGCAACAGAAAAAAAATACCATTGAAATACTCGTTCATTACAATTAAAATCATGACAGTTATTAACGCAACCAATTACAAATGAAAATTATCGATCATGTTTCTCAACTCACTACACTTTACAGACATTAGCAGGCATTCATCATCTTCAAATGAGTATTAAAATTTCGGCGACACGCCTATTGGCACGTTAGTTTACGCTTTATAACTAGTGATCATGAGATCAGAGTATTGTATGTAAATGAAACAACCAGACAACAAAGAGATCAATTGATCAACATAAATACATTGTTTATTAACGTCTCTCAAATTTAACCACTAATCAAAGATTCGATTATTGGTATTGTTGAACAGGTGTTTCGATGACATAAATGCTTTCTAAATACATCAAGCAGACTTGTTGATGTATTGCCACTTATTATTGCTATATATATATATTTATATACGCATGTAGGCATAACATGCTTGTACTTGCGACAGATAAATTATTTACATTCAGCTACTACTTGTTACGAGGGAGTGCAGGGGTTATTTTTTATGCGACGGATTACATAATTAACTTGACAACATGTTCTTGTAGACCGGCATAACTTTATTACTTTCCGTCAGAGCCAAGACGTTTTGACGTTGACTTTGTGTACTCAGGAGACTTGATTAGACCAAAATAAGATGCGGCCTCTGTCATGTCTGACACAAGTGGGCGTCTTTTTACTTGCAATGTCTGAACAGCTCCATAATTTTTTACTTAAAGTAAAAACTACCTGCATTAATCAGACATCAGGAAAAGTTTTTTCCCTATTTTTACACAGAACTTATTTTAATGCATTTATGATATCTAGATGCATACATAGGGATAATGAGTAACGCCCGATCAAGACTGTAATTTTGTCGTTTATAAACGAAACGTTGCTACATATCGAAGCTGCAAGGGACGCTCACGATTAAACGTTTTGAAGGTAGCATTACGCAGTAAGTGATACCTGACCGCTTTTCGATTTATTGATCGATAAATTGCACGCCATTACAAGCAGAAGAGAGAGACTGCATTCAAGAAGATCGTACCAGCTACCACTAGTGGATATGCTTTTAATTCAACATTTATCAGATCATGAACAAAAAAAAGAATATTTTAGCTTAATAATCGTTGCTTGAGTAACCTCAACTTTATTTAATTTTTATCTAAAATAAAATGCCTTTTTATGTCTATTTAAATTTGAAAATAGCCCATAAGCATGATGTAGTATATTGATACTGACTCGTAACACTATGGATGTTTTTAAAAAATTATTAATCAACAATTACTATTAAAAAGTTTAACTTTTGTTCTTCTTTTATTATATCTAAGAAGTTCAATGGATTTCAAGTATAATCATGAGTATCTAAAGAACCTGAAGACTTTGAAAAAGTTCAGAAATTTACAGTCAATATTTTTATTTAACTGATTACAGTACAACAAATAAATTTAATTTCTAAAAAAGAACAAATATTAAAAATATATTTCTGTTTATTAAATAAATAAACTTATCCTGACTGATTGATAAGCAGGAAGACAAAATGATTACTGCTTGGAAATTGATGTAACTCTAACTGATACACCTTTTATAATTATCATCAACCATGTAATTTCCGACCTTCAACTTCAATTCTAGAAATCATTATTTTATTCTCTGAATCACTAATAATTTTATCAAAATTATTTTTACTAAAAAAACTTGCCAAAAAATTGTGTAAAAAAGTAATAAATTTCATCTTAAAAGACATGGGATCAATGCATAATACTTGGCTTTTGAATAATCATTAAAAATGCAAAGATTTTTAATTCGTTAGCAAGATTATAAGTTGAGTTATGTCTTCACGTAGCTTTAGCGTGCATTACAAGCACTTTTAATTTACCTCTCGCAATCCATGTCATCATAATAATGACTCAGAGAGCACTAGTATGACAAATGACTCTTTGATAAAGCACATATTGCGATGTTTGATAACGTTGATCTCCGTGCAATTACTCATCAAATGAACATTCTATACCTTCATTCATTTCATCTGAAGAAGCTTATCAAATCATTCACTTTCAATTAGAATGTTTAGAACAATTAATTTAACTTAATAAATCACATAAATGTCTAAATGTGATCTATAAGTGAATATAAATTTGCTGATGTATATGACAATCAAATAGCAAACTGCCTGATAGGCGTGTTCATTTTTTCATGCAAGCAATTTTCCAAGACTTGTCGACGCCAGGTTTTACGAATAAGCAGTAGGCCTATGAAGCCGATTTATAATCAACTATAGAGACGAACAGTCAACTATTCACGTGTGCCACGATGCGAGAAATTAAAAGCTCCCGAGGCCGCTTGGCAAATCGAGTATAAATGCCCTGACTCTGTGGTACACAGATGACGTCATTTCGCACTAGATATATCGCCAGAAATGAAATAAAATAAAAATAAATTATTAATGTATCAAGTCTATTCAATCACTATCGGTATCAATAATAATCAAATTATTTCCTCCTTTCACTTAAATTCATTTCTATTAAAAGCATTTGTTCATGAACTTTTCTTCCAATTAGATAAAATTGAGAAACTTGAGAATCATTAAACTTTCTAAGAAATGGCGTGATGTTGTTAATTTTCTCTTTATATTATTTTCATTATATCTTCATGATATGTCTGTAAATATCTTACAAGAAGTGTTTGTGATGGTTATTAAAAATATAAAATATAAAAAACAACTTTAATAGCAAAAAATATTTATAATATATTATTTTTTAGAATAAAATAAGATATTCGTTGCTCTCTGAATGATGAGAAAACTGGCTTTATTGCATTTTATCATGTTTACGTTTCATCCTAATCACTAATAATTAAAATAATTAATTCTAATGAATCCAGTAAGGATATTTTGCAGCACATTTTATAGAAAGGATTTTTGCTGTTGATTTTGAATACCAATCGTATCATGAGTTGATTTGATTAAAGCTTATAATCCAGCTTATAAATTTAAAAAATAAAAAAAAATATTAATTTATGATTTTTAATTAAACATCTTTTAGAGATTATTCTCTATGATTAAGAAATTTTTTCACGGATTTTTTTCGACGTTCAAAAGATGATGAGATTGATGCTATTAAGGTTTATTCTAATCATCGAATAAAATCCATAGATGTATCATTGAAGATGAGAGCTCTGGATGAATATACCGGTGTCGCCACTTAAGTAAGAGGCAGAGACAGGCAAAGATTATAAACCAGCAATTCTCATCGTGTCACGTTATCTTTACGGTGCAAAATGGCTCTGAAAGTTCTTTCGTGGAATGAGACATGAAGTAAACGATGGGCTATGAGTAAGTATGGGCAAGCACATAAACGAGACGCACCCTGGGGATGTAGGTGGACTGCATACTCTTTCTTGTGCTACAAACTCAGATAAGAAAATGAGGAAGGCGTCACATGTACTTTACATTTTCCACCGTTGACTATAAATTACTTATGCTCATACAGATCCATGTTACTCCGTGGTTAAAGCGTCAATAAAGACCGTAAATGAACTTGAATCTGTGTCTGGTAGAAAAACAAACATTGGAGATGATTTTGATGGTAGTATGAGTTATGGGAAATTTTATTTGTGTTGTAAAATGGATTATTGTTGGCGAATGCCAACTACTGTTTGGATTATTAAGAGAATTTAGTAACGTATCATTAAATAAAAATTTTTAATACAATTTTATTGGTCAAAAATTAGAGTACAGAAAACTTTTAATGATAAATAGCAATTGATGATAAATGATAATATTTAGCAAATGATATTTTGAAGTTTAAAATAAGTAGCTTTTTGATTTATATTGCTTTGTTTTAATCGAAAAATAAATTATTAATTATTTTAAAATAAACTTAAATTTTTCATTATAAACATTAAGATTAAAATAGTCTTTTAAAAAAGGTTTTGATTATAATTATTTACTATTTTTTATCATAAAAAAACAATTTTTAATCAAGTTTTTCTAATCGATTTAATTAAATGAACTATTTGTATCAATAATATTTTGAAAATCTAAATTCATTCACTTACTCAAATTAGTCTCATCAATAAAAAAGAACTTTTTTTCCATTCCATATAAATACACTGCAAATCCCAAATTTTGGAAGGGTTCTTCAATTTAAAACACTTAAAGTGTTTTAAAACGACGTAACCTATTTGATCAACATTGCAGTCACTTTTTAAACACTTCCAAGCATCTAAAATGGGTAACGTCGTTTTAAAACATTTTAAGTGTTTTAAATCAAAACACTACGATTTGCAGTGTAATTATTAATTTAAAAATCACAGATTGCATTAAACAATGTTGCATTAATACATTAGTCATATCGTAATCTTTTCTATTAAATGCTAATTAGTGAATAAAAGGTTAATTAAAGAATAATAAATTAATATTTACTGACAAAACATTTATAAAAATTATATAACCGGTTTTCTCAGCATTAAATATTTTGTATTAAAATAAAGACTGTATTTTTCAACATTTTGAAAATGAATTTTAGATAATTATAATTTAATTCATAAGACTTATGAAAAACTCATTTTTTGTGTGCTTTAAATATTATTAGTTGAATGATAATTTTTCAGAAGCCAATTTTCAATTTAAATTCGAAAATAAAATGAATTTATCTTACGATCTTTCGCCATCAATAAAACATCTTTGTTAAGTCACATGATTTAATGAAATTATACCAACTTGAAGCATTTTAAATTAATCTAAATCCGATTTAGGATTATAAATATAGTTTTATAACCTGTATCTTAAACTTCTAAAGTTTCCTATATCAAGAGTTCTCTGTTTACTTGACACTTTCAACTTTACATTGGTGTTAGTTAACTTTAACGATGATTAAACCATAAATAAAAGAAGTTTAATAAAAATATAGTTAAAGTTAATCCAAATGACAGCTTTTATTCAAACCCATCAATGCATTTAAAATTCATCTCTGAGTTCAAGAC